CTAATAAAGATATATAGATAATAGAAAGAAATATTATAAGTATTTGAATATATGCAATATATGCATATGCAATATATGCATATCATTATTTCGCGCGCAAATATTACTACAAATTATGACCTTTACAATACTACATTTTTAAAACAAAACAGTCAATAATTCTAAAATATATATATAATGTATATGTATATTAATCTTTAATATTATAGTTTTTATATGTAGTTTTTCATCAAAATCTTATTTTTCGTTTAAAAAATATTAAAAGATATTAAAAATAGAAATTAAAGTAGCACGCTAACTTCAAAGAACGCATGTAAAAAGTATCAATTTTAATTGCAAATATTTCAAATCTCGAATGGCCAATCTTTTTCTAATTGCACGAGCAGTTATATAATATTTTAATGTACATATAATATGTATGTTTCGTTGAATTCTTATCAAACTCATATCATCTTATAAAATCTCTCCAAAACTCTGGAAATTTAGTGAAATTATCTCGATCAAATTTTCGAAACTGGAAATCTCTCCTGATTTCTCACATAATTAAAATGACACTATTATGAAAATAAATCTCATGGGCAAGTACTGCGCGCCCATAAATTGCTTCCTTATGGCAAGGCAATTAAGAGCTTTGTAAGAGAAATTCAGTCACGCTCGTTTGAACACGAAATTATTAGGAACAACGTTCTTCTCTCACAAAATTGCAGACCGTGAGAAGCGAAAGGTAAGATCAATGTGCGCAATTTATTGGCTTATAGTCTTCGGGGACACAATACCGTCGTATTAGACTTCATTCTGACCGGCGAGGAGAACGTCAGTTGCGAGAGTGCAAAGGGGAAATGTCAAAACCGCTACGCTATGTCGTCGGTATTTGAGTAACTTCACCTTAGAAATGCGAATACACGTTACAAGGATATCTTTCACCCGAAGGGACTTGATTGTCGATGTGTTTCGTCAGGTATGTAAAATACGGAAAATTACCATATTATATCAGCGAGGGCTTTTAGTGAATACTTCGACAAATGACTGTGTCTCGTCATCAAAACAATATTACACCGTACGGTATGACGAATTGCGATATTGCTATAATTATAACATGGATCCTAAACGAGTTGTGTCGGTTGACGAAAGACGACTCGCAATAATAGGGTAGTGACGAAAGGGACATTAAGAAAGAATAGCCGCTTACAACGCGCACTTTCCCATTCGTGTCCTGGTGCAGCAGAATGGAAGCCATGTTCTCCGTGTCTTGATAGATGTCACCGATATCTACGTCCATCTGGAAATAAGAGGAGAGACGATTGCATCCCCAGAAGATGATTGGTTAATTCACAGAGGCACACCGCTAACGCCAAAAACTCTCGTTATATCTACGTCTCAATTAAACGATTCGCTATGAATATTTGGCGAGTATACAAAATGTCTGATATTTCACGATACAACGCTCGAGCGCAAGTAGACCATATCAAACTGAATAGAAAAGTCATGTGCCATTTTGCAAATTTTGCAATCATTATTGAGAAGAATTCCAAAGTCAATGACTAACATGACAAGCCTCGATAATGTAGAGGTGATTCTCAAAATATTATGTTACATCAACACTGATATAATCACCCTACACTTTTTGTATTTCTTGTATGTACAGATCTTATATAAAGTAAGTGCAATTTAAATACGAATGTGATAAATATGCGCTACTCTGTTTTATCATATCTGACAGAAAGCCAAACCAAGATGTGTAAAAATTTATAACGCAAAACTTTTCATATCTTTTTAGGCTTCTAAATTTAGTTAAAAAGATGTAAAAATGTTCTTTGAAATTTGTCATATTGAAACATTTGATATGTGCAACCTGCAGGATTTCTGTATTAGATAAATATTTATATCAACTGGCAGCTAGAAATATCAATTTTTGAATTTTTCATCATTTTCAACATGTTACACATGTTGAGCAATACTTCAATTCATTTTTGCGCGTATTTTTACCGTGTAAAAGCATTTACAATGTACAGCTAATATGACACAAACTTTGCAGAAAGAGATCAGTATTTTGCCGGCAAAGTTTTTAAATGTGGCATTTCCTTAAAGAATTAATTAAATAATATTAGTGAATAAGTGTGCAGGAAACGATGGAAGCGAACTTTGTAGGCAAAGGCATTGCATCAAAGTCTTATTTAAGACTTGCTCAAATCTGTTGATTATTTCTTGACAACGGCAGGTGATGCGTAATGCCAGATTGCATATCTCCACTGCATCACGCATCACCTACGCATCACTAGCCAAAATAATCAATAGATTCGAGCCATCTTGAATAAGACCTTACTTACAGAACTCGTCTTATCGCTGACTACAAATTCATTCGCTAATAATGTTTAATTAATTTCTTAATAACTATTACGAAATTAAATTAAATTAGTTAAGTAAATAACGAGTACTATTGCGAAATTTACAAAGTGGTGCAGGACTTTTCCATTCATTTTGATATGACTTATCTGCTCACGACCATTGTTTCATTAATTGTCATGTATTCCGTATAGCTCGGTGATTAATATTCCGAGAATATTCAGCTTGGGTGAGACTGTGAAACTTCAACGACATCGTACACCGAAAAAAAAATCACTTACATCCTTCACCCTCTCGTAATGAAGGCCGTCAGGTTGCGACGCGTTTCTGGTGACGGTCCACATTGGCAGGCTGTTAGCTGTCAACAGACCTTCCGTGGGTTTCAAGGAAAGGTTGATATCCTTGCCGAAGGCCTTTAAATGAATCTGTGTTTTCGCGTCTATACTCCTTTTGTGCATCGTGTGCAACACAGGCACGACTTCGTACGGCGGCACTGCGGTTTTAGAATAAAATAATGTTTAAATCCGGGCAATTATTTATCGTAGCGACGCCGAATGAGAGACATTGTTACGAACTTATATTAATTACGTTATATCAATTACGTTACGTTGAGAAATTTACGCCCGTCAGAGATCTAACGATTGGCTTTACACATATTGCGAAAAATCTTTTTGAAAGTCTCTCATCTGAACGATATGACGCCTTGCGAAATAGACGCCAGTTTTGCGCATTGTATGTATTAGTGAATTAACGTGCGGAAGTAACAGTTAGTATTTTAGGATCGATGATCTCATTCGATTGATTTCTTATGTCTGTCAGTCGGCTGCTAAAAAAAAGAGGAAAAAGAAATAACAAAAAAGCTACGTTATATCAAACGAGAGATCGGCGACGGGCAACAGCGACCTTTCCTAAGGCTTGTCAAAACGAAACGAAGAATGATGGCATCAATGAATTGAGTATTATTTACGACCGCAGGTTTAAGTTTAACGACCCGTCTTCGCGAGCCTTCTTGTTCTTTCTTTCCCGGACGCGTCAAGTGAAGGTTCGGGGAAACACGCAAAAGATTCGGCCGAGAAAAAATAAAACCATAATTCGTACGTTCACACGTATATATATACCTTCCTTTAAATAATTATACTCAATACTGACGTCGTGTAATGAACAAAATAAAAAATGGTTCGCCTTCAAACTGACTTAATCGGGAACGCCGCGCTTGCGTCTCTCTTAAATGGAATCAGTGAAAATGTCACTGACCGAATCTGTAAAACGGTACTTCATCTTATTCACTGATTTTTAACGGAAACACTTCCACTTAGCTCTTCCGCCTTACATCTCACTAACATTGATCAGTGGAAGATTCATTGAACATCGTTATTACGTGTTCCGCAGCTAAAACTATACGTACATATGTATATATACATATGAATACATATCTGAACTCTATCGACAAACTTACAAGACAAATTATATGTTAAAAAATAATTAAAAAATCTTAATAAACCTATGCCCGCAAAAGTTTGGTCTTTGAGATATAGCCCTCAGAAGACGGCAATGATGAAAGATGCGTCGGTTAAGAATGATGAACATTTTTTTACCCGTTCTTGAAGATAATATCTATCAATTCCGATATTTCTGAATATCAACTGGAGAATCCATTCGTTGTAACGTTAATATATTATTATCGTTGTCGCGAATGAAATGAAAAAAACGCGCGTCTACTCAACGACATCTCATTTCCCTGCTCGTCTCGTTCGAATCGTCGTTAGTGTCGAGGCGAACCGCGTTCTTTTCTACATCGCGTGCGGATGGTCGGCAGGAACGGAACATAAGGAGAAACGGAACGGAAAAGACAACCGCGCGTGCCCGCGCGTTCGTTAACAACGAGCGTTACTTTTTCGCTGTTATTACCGAACTCGTGTCCCGTGTAAAACACCGATAGCATCTCTTCCCTTGTCATGTGCTCGTGGATCTGAAACACGAATAAGTTTAAATGAGCAGAGACTATGTGTCGCAATATCCTTGCGTAATCGGGATCGCGGTCATTTTGCGTTAAATGTTTCGCGAATAAATCTAAGACACGATATGCAAGTAGCGTAACTGTATACTCGATTCGAAACTTGAGTCGAAAAATGCGACTTTGACTCTCCTAAAAAAGTATTCTCATTAATCAATAATTATTGAATCAGATTGATATCTCATATGGTTCAGTCGCATTTCACATCGATCCCTTGAAAACCGCCGATTATAACATTTTCACCGGTCTCTCTAACTTTAAGAGGATATTCTCATTTTCGAACGACGTTTCGTTTAGTAGGTAGTAGACTTTAGGGATGTCTCTTAAAGGAAGCTGTAAAACAAACTACTGTAAAATCTATTGTAAAACGACAAATTTTAACATTAAGCGCATCGAAAACAGAAATTTCAGACATCAAAGAAGAGTAAATTATATTATTAGAATTGAAATTGTATATGTGTGAACCTCCATTTTGTTATCTTAACTTCGACTATATATTAAAGGTTTAACATAGGGTCAAAATTTCGACTCCGTAACAGATTCATCCACGAAAACAACGTCTTCGGACGTAGCTTTCCAATGAAGTGAACATCCCGGTGAGGTGCAATGGCGCCAAAAAAAATTTCATCCATTCACTTCGGAAATCGGTTATTATCACGTTGCAGGATTTCGCAAATAGAATCGACAATGAACAACAAATTTATTTGCACCGTGTGTTACTCGGCGCTCCACACGTTAACTGTTTCCAACGAGGAAGTGAAGAACGCGAAGAGGTATTCGAACGAAACCTTTTGCAGGCGAATCTAAAGCAAATCTTCCGGGATCCGCAATTTTATCATTAATGCTTATTATATCATTTCGTACGACTTTTTTTCACTTGCGTGTCACGACAATTCTCGGTCGACGACTTTAATTTCGTCTCTTACCGGCCGTAGCGGCAATACCGCCTATGAAGTATTGTCTCTGCCGCCATGCTGATACCATGAAGATAGCGAAGCAAAATCAACGTACGACACACACGATCGAGAATGGTAGGCGTCGGCGGCAAGGAGACATCAAGTTTCACGTCATGAAATGCGTCACGGATGGTAACGTGATTGTACTTGAAATTTCTTGTCGATTAATATTGCAATTAAAATATGGCGTCTCGAGACACAACTTTAATAACAATCGGTTGAGCGTAAGATGCGACGCATTACTCAATTTACCAGTCTCACTGAGTGAATTAAATTATTTATATAAATCGTTGCTGTGTGTGTCGGAGTACAATTTCCGTGGTATTTAATGAAACGCTTATGTAACTCGGTAGACACCGCTATTAGCTGATAGATTTTGTGTTTAAAGAAAGAGAGAGAGAGAGAGAGAGAGAGAGAGAATAATTTTTCAAATATTCTTGGGATCGTGGTTCGTCCAGTTTCGCAGGAATCTGTAATCAACGGGTATATAAGCATATTCAGTTTTCCGATCGCGTTTCAAGGTCTGCTTCTACCATTTAACGGCGTTTACCGCGCGCCTGACCAATCTCACGTGTCGTCAAATGGCAGTGTTGCGAAGGTATCAAGTCGTGGCTTGAAACGATTCACGTGCCAGGGACTGTTAAGGTCGATCACTTTCGCTCATAACGGCAGACTATCCGATCGAGGTTTGATCGATTTGTGCCATGAGCGATCTTTTTTTTCCAAGGAGAGGGAGAGAGAGAGAGAGAGGAAGAGAACAAGAAGAAGGATGTGATCGTTCGATGGTAAAATTAATTTTTATGCCACGGTGATATTATTAATAAACGCTACTTGGCTGCCTGTAAACAAATCAAAGACGATATCTAAATATTTCCGATCTAATAATCGTTGCAACGTACGATATTCAATTTCTCTCGTAGCAGAATAGTTCTAGTGTCGACAATGAATTCAGTAATACTTGTTAACCGTAACCGCTAATCACGATCGTTTTAACCGCAATATTATATATTCCACGCGTCTGTCAGCACAACTGTCGATCAACAGAAATGCCGTCTCTGCTCCGTGAAAAATAAATTGATCTCACGGAGGAGAATATTCCGGTTTCGCTTTCGATCTCTCTTTCTCCCTCTCCCCTCCCTCCTCTCCCCCTCTCCCTCTTCCCCTCCCCCTCTCCCCCCTCTCTCTCTCTCTCTCTCTCTCTCTCTCTCTCTCTTCTCACTCGCGCAACAAGTACTCAAAAGCATGCAAATCATGTGGAACGAGTGCCGGAAGTTGCGGCCACGTTTCTCGTCTGAAAGCGATTATTTTTGCCTCGTTTCTTAAAGTGACTAGAGACTAGAGCTTTACGTAAGGCATCAATCGACCACTTCGATGTTTATCCGTGATGATTCAATGATTAATGAGACAAATCGATACTTCATACAGTTCGGTAAGCTTCATGTTGATCTTTGAAAACTGCCAACTTTAATATTTTCATCAGTCTCTTTAACTTTAAGAAGATATTCTCATTCAAAATGTTTTTGTTTGGTAGGTGATTTTAAGAATTTCTCTTAAAGAAAGTTGCAAAACATACAATACTGAAGTTTTTGATAAATATTTATCTACATTTTGATTATAATATAGTAATTTCTACATCTCTTTTCATCTTTTTCTTAAGATTTTATGGGAAAGAAAGGAGAGGAGCATTACTGTAATCTAATGCAGCCACTGTAGGAACAAAAAACAAACCTTTGATAAGATATTTGTCAAAAATATAGAAATTAATTGATTATTTTTTTTATGTTTCTAAGAAGAAATCAATTCTACAAGATATTTTTGAGCAATTATTTGGCGGACGATGCTTTTTTTTGCTAATGCCCGTTCCTACTGCTCACTACGGGAACCGAAAAAAGTTTGGAAAAGTTTGGTGTTCGCCTCCCGGTAGAACTAAAATATTATCATACGCCTGTATCTCCTCTCCGATAAACTCACTGTGATGTGAACTTTATTTTCTGACCAGTGGAGTATGAAATGATTTCAGATGACTATTCCCGGGTTAAAGAATCGAGCCCCGTTTCGTGATTATCTCACATAATTTTATCATCGATTTTGACCTCAAACTCACAGAATGACGTTTAATAGATAATAAGGAAAACCAATTTTAAAATGCGTTTATATAAACACAGTTTTTAGAAATAATAAAAAATTGGGTTTTATGGAAGCAGTACAGTAAATGAAGAAGTTGTTAAAATAAAAGGATCAAATGTATAAATTGCTTCTTTAAAAAAAAATACGTTCACAGTTGCAAGCAAAGGAACGGTTTACTAAAATTGAGAAAAATTTTCTTTTTATTAGTAACTTTCTTCACACTAAAAGTTAAGATAAAATATAAGGATAAATCTCGAATAATTAAGTAATTACGAATAATTGAAAAAGTAATTGCAATGTGTAATAACGCATTCTTCGGCGATACTTGACTGCAATCTTACCTTGTGACATCGTACGAGAAGTAGAATAATAGCCATGCAGAGAAAGACAAGGGCGCGAGTCATTTTGCATAAAAATATTCCTGACTGGTTGCGTCACATTGCTGAAACAGAGAACACAGTCTGGTAAATGAATGAATTGAAAATTAGCGACGTCTGCGATTCAGTTTAATTGTATACAGCAACAGGTAATACGAATCTCGATATACACTCAAAAGTACGATAGAAAAATAAAAATAATCATACAAGTAAAAGCCAAACATTGGTTACCCACGAAACATTTGGATGTACATAATATATTTTAAGTACGTACATTGATATATACTGAATATACTATGTATATACACTAGTAATACAATATACATATTAGGTGCTTGAATTAATTTTCGCTGTTTTTTGCTACAAAAATTCATGTTTATTTCAAAAGAACAGTACATTATATCTTATTCAAAGTATTGTCTTTCGGAAGCTACAACCTTTTTCCACTTTCCGGGGTAACACGTGGGTTCCACGGTAGAAAAATTCAGGTTCTTTCGAAAAAGATAAACGATCAGGCAAATAAGAGCTAAACGCTAATTTTGTATAATTATTATTCATACAAATTAAAAAAAACACAAATGTTCACATGTGTCAAACATTTCTGCTTTTACCAAAACTAGGACCGAAACGTTCAACACAACATATGAAACCCGTTTATATTTTTAATATGTATAAAAATTTGTTACAAAACTAGCGTTTAGCTGTCGTATCCCTAATTATTTTTCTGTTTTCAATTGCATGCATCAAAAGACCTTCTATATTTTCTTTTAATATCTTCTATATTCTCAAATTTCACCGATAATATAACTCGAATTCTTAGAAATATAAATGTAATCATATGAAACTTGTTTGTGTACCAGTGAAGGTGCAAAATAACAAATATTTTTGTGCCATTGACATTGTTATGCGACACAGCGCATTTCTGAAGACGAGAGTTGCCTGGTGAACATAGAGAAGTGTTTTGCTCACTCGTGTATAGCGCGACATGAAGAAATTCCGTGTAGTTATATAATTTTCACCGTGTCCAATGCGTGCACTGTGAGAATGAAAAATCGAAACTAACCTTCGCGGTGGGTTCACGCATGCTTGAATCTGAAAATCATCGCCGCGAATAGAGAAATGAGAGTGTTGAATGTGTTGCTGTACAAACCGCTCGCGAGTTATAACAGAGGTGATCCCGGAAAGAAAGTTAAGTCGCGTTGGATTAACACCGACGAGTTCATGCCGAAAGCTTCGCGTATGTAGAAAAGTACCGTAAATAGATGCGTTTCGCGCAATTTCACGACCGAATCGTGTCACATGAGAATCACCAGAGAAAAAGCACTAGTGATCTGAACGTGCTAACGATCGGAGTCGCAAAATGCGAGTAACGAACGAATAAGTCCCCTATATAAGCGCGTAATATTATTTAATATTAAATAATATTCTGGAATATTAGAATATTATTCTTAGAATATTAAAATTTACGCCAAATTGGATATCGAATATTCTAGGAATTGTAGAAAAATTCATAAATGTTATTTAAATATATTAAATATACCAAACTTAATATAACCCTATATGCCAAACCTTTTATATTCATAAGTCCAATAGGTCATATATAATAAAGAAATATATCTCAAAGTGCGCCTAAAAATTCATCGTCTAAACAGGGAGCTCCCCTTAAGATTTAAAACATTTAATATTACTTTGAACTAATAAATCAGCCATTCTGCTAACATCCTTATCCTCATTTCTATAAACTTCACCATTATATTAAAACCTAAAGAGTTTCTATTTGTGTTTATCATTTGGTCAACTGAATAAAAGAAACAATAATATAAAATAACGATATAAAATGCGGTCGCGAAACCTTTCTTTTCCATATATTCTTATTTCTGAAAATGTTACTTTCTATGATTGGTATATTCTAAAATGATCAAGTCAATTTTACACGGTGGGATCATGGCCGGCAAATCAAAGAGAATAGCTCGCGGCGGGTGAAATCTGTGGGAGTAATAAAAGCAACAGAGTCGCACGGCAGCGAAAAAGAGAAAGAGAAAAACGCGCGTTTCATTGTTTTAATAAGAGACAATGATTCCTGGCGGAGTAATATATTCGACCTTTAATGTTTTCATGGATTACTCTCGATAACACGAGAGTAGAGATTCACATAAGGATATTGCATGCGGAGAGAAAGAAATAGGGATATCCGTTACGCCGCCTTGCTTATAAATTCTGGCTGTTTCTAATCGAGAGCCACTCACGCAGTCATTAAATCATTGCAAGAATGCGCCACATTCAAACGTACTATGTGAACATCTTATTTGCATTGTAACACTTAGTAGCAATTAATTTGTAATGTCTGAAAGATATCAGCATCCTCTATTTACTTTCTCGTTGCCATATGCAAATATCTTCACCCTATTAACCTCGGAATATTACGCATGTTTTTTAGGAGTTTTTATGACCTACACTAAATAAAAGAGATGTACAAGAGGCTAAATGAAAGGCATATTATCGTTGTGTAGATCTACAAACCTGGAACATAATTGGTTCAAGGAAAAAACATTTTCTAGAAGTCAGTCGAACAATGGAAAATATAAATTTAGGTCATCGCTCGTGCGACTGAATTCGATTTACCTGATTTAATTGCTTAATCGCTCGACGGAATTGTCGTGATTTGCGTGTAACCAAAAATCAAAATGTAGACACGATTCTGGCAATATTAAAAGATAAACTAACATGTGTACACTCACACACACATACACACACACATACACATGTCGAAATATGATGAATAAGAAACAGCTTACGCGCGAAAACAAAGGACCATCGCTTTCGCCTGACCTCGAAAAAACGAATTTGGGCCATTGTCTGAATTCCAAGTAATGCCTAATTTGCCTCATTGTAGCGCTTCGCGGAGGCGAGCGAAACGAGCGTGTGGCGCGATCCTTTTTCGTGCAGCGTTAATTAACACGGCGGTAATTGCAGGTATATAAATGTCGACGTTACATTCGGCCGACCGAAGATGAAGTCGAGTTAAAGGGCAACTGGTTTCGTCGCGTTACATAACCAAAGAAAGAAATAGAAANGAGAGAGAGAGAGTGAGGGGGGGGGGGGGGAGAGAAGGAGGGAAAACACACTGATTGCGAAAATTAATTCCTCACCTTCTCCTGCGCTCCGTCGAAGGAGCGAACGGCGCCATCCTCGATGAGAGAGTAGAGAGGAATAAACTCAGGTCGATTATCGTTGCGCGCGTATTCTCGGGCCACTTTCTTTTCGGACTGGGTTGCCGACGGATCGGTCTCGGGACGTGCGACAAGAAGCGATGGAAAGTCGTTCCGAGATTGAAATCAACGATTATCGTCGACATCCGCAATCGTCTGGAGGTTTTATCTATTCGCTTTCTATAGCGCGTAATATGTACACGACGCACAAACGTAACATCGTATAATTGGCGTTTGTCGTGATAACGTGCTATTGGACTGTACTTATACAGTTCGACGGCGGTGGATCACAAAGGACAGATCGCGAGTCATCCGTCCTAATTAGCCATTTATGAAATTGGCATCAATTGTCCAAAACTCACATTTTCGGACATCGCGTAACGTAAAGATAAATCCGAGTCGAAATTTTAACCCTGTCTTTTAAATCTTTAATTCTACAACACAATTGGAGCTGAGACAATAAAATAGATTAAATTCTAATAGTTTAATTTATTTTGACTATGATGAAGTATTAAAGTAAATAGTTAGTAATTAGTTAATAAACTTGTTCTCTTAGGAACCTTTTCTCATCCAGTTTTGTCAAAAGGGTAACGTCAAAGCTATATATCATAAGTTTATAAATTTAGTACAGATTTATCAAGTTTCTTCAAATATTGTATTATTATATTGTATTAACTATTCACTATTAACTATAAATTTAGTACAGATTTATCAAATTTCTTCAAGTATTGTATTAACTATTATCTTTCTAACAATATTTTTCATTGACCAATTATCTTAAATTTTCATTTTCATTTTCATTATTTATAGCGTCAAAATATGTTGTTTTGAATGCTCATACGAATTTAATAATTAAAATATCGAGAGCATTTATAGCTTCAAGTAAGTGTTCAAATGAGACTTGTAGAATTAAAGGTTCAAGAGAGGAGTTAACAGGTAGTGTATAGTCAAATTAGGTCTTCACTAGTCTATTAGCTATGTAAGTAAGCGCAAACTGTTCTTAAGAACGTCAATGCGTAAAAATTTTGATTCGAGAATCTACGAATCATGCTCGTACAGATGCGATTCACTCACAACGATATGCGACTTGCCGGACATTTTTACGATATTTGCTTCAGGGAAGGCCTTTTATGAGCGTAGCGGAAGAGGAGCCGTTAATTTTATTACAGCGCAAATATTTTCATTCCGTATTCCCGAAGCGAGCGGATGTAACAAAGCAAGCTACTCAACACGGTGGCTCTATTTTCGTTCGATGATTTTCCTTCGACCTGAGTACTTATGAAGAGCGGGAAACGACGAAAAGTGCTTGCTTCCGGAATATGAAAATACCGGTCGGCACGGATCGAATGTCGTGAGAAATCGTGACTGCGCCCGCGCACTTTTACTTACTTACCGTAACGTGCTGTAATTGAAACCGAAATTTCAGCCGGTGTGCGTGGGACACCGATAAACTCTATTGCGCGATTTGTATCGTTAAATGTACGACGTAATACGATGCATGTGCAACATGTAACACGAGCTGCATATCACCGTGTACATACTTATTTTAAATATTAAAACGTTATATCTTCATAACTTGCTTCTTTTCCTATTACAATTTCTATTTTATTTTTCGCTTATTTCTTCTTTGTACATGTCATCAGATCGATACTTCCGTATTGTTCTTAAAAGGAGACATTTCCCCGTGAATAAATAAATAAATCAACAAGTAGATAAACAAGTAAGTAAATTTGCCATCTCGAGAAATAGATTGTACCCGCGCGATCGACTTTTGAATCTCATTCGTTCGACTTCTAATTCATTGTAACAACGTCCGATGCGCGCTACACTTGCCGAAATACGTTTTCGAACATCCA